AGGTGGGGTAGCTGGCACAGCGACTCGGGCTTCGACGTCGCATTCCGAGTCGCGCCCGCGTTGTGGCCCCAGCGGGAAAGCGCCGACCACTCTGGACCAGCGCTGGGATATCAGAACTGGCAGCGGCGCTGAGACCGCTGCAGCACCGGGCGCTGTCGGCGCTAAGTCCCCTGCTCTGTCTTTCCCCACGGGCGCAACCCGACGAAGCAAGCCTGACCTCCCTGAGTTTGTTCAACGCGGGATGCGGCAGAACAGGCGCGAAACGCAAGAGCAAACAGAAGCCACAGGAGAACAGCAGAAACGAATGAAGAGGGCGCGCACGTGGAGCCCAAGAAAATAAAGAACACCATCTCGAAGTTAAAGCGCACGCAGCCGATGATAAGTACCACAACATGCACAAGTCGCGAAGCAGCGCGCGATAGAAACCGAACCCCGCTCGCCATCAAGCCGCGGGGGGGAGAAAGGGAGGAAGAATGAGATGAGGCCAAGGGGAGTTGCCGAACGCGTTGTGCGTGAATTCCACATGGCCGCATCGACAATTCATATGGGTCGGTCGCGCACAACAGCAGGCAAGCGGGAAAAACACAGTACACAACAAATGAAAAGATATACCTGCATGGGCGGGGCGTCGAAACAAAACGCGAGGAAACTGGGCGAGGATCGCGCGCCAGATAAGATGCAACATCCAAGTTAAGCAACGCGGATGCGGCGAGGCCGCAGGGAGACACGCCAGCGACGGCGACTGCGCGGGCCAGGAGCGGTTTCCTACGGAATCGACTCGCAGGACCGGGCGGCCCACAGCCCAACAGCAGCCCCAAGTGGCACGAGGCACCCAAAGCGCAAATCGAAGAATCGGCGGAGGAAGAAGGGGAGGGTAAAGGTGGGAACACATCAACACTTTTCGCCCCACCTGCATTGGTCCCATATGGGCAGGTCGCATTGCTCGCGCCACTCCTGGATGTCAGAATCGCGCGCCCGCGTAGGCCCCATCTTGCAATGGCCCCACGCTCCCGCGCAGGAGCAGTCCTGCGCCGAGCCACACTTCCCGAAGCTATCCCCGCACCAGCACTTCTGAACCCGCTGCGGGCCGGAAGAATTCACCCCGAGCACAGCCCGGCGCACGCGCCGCCACGTCATACATAGGTTCTGCTTTCAAACACCAGAATAGATACAACCCCCCGAAGCCAGACTTAGCGGTACCACCTGGGGTAATACAATTTACAAACCATTTATATATGATTATGCCCCCTCGTTCATTTTGCAATTGAAATCATACCATCCCAGGAAAGCCGGCCGCAATCGAACCCCCCTTCCGTCATCCCTGTCAGAAAATACGATGCGCGCACACCCGTTTATCAAACGTCAGCCATGTTCAAGGATCCCGTAAAACAAATGAGACAAAGTCCACATGCACGCGTCGTCGTCGCGCGCATGCCGAAATAGTTATTTGCCAGAAGATCTACACATGCTGACATCACGATTGGTCTATTGTATTGTTCTACCACCGTCACTTGATATGCTATCTCAATGGATCGGATCTTCACGGTCTCGGCCTTTTTGTGAGAGAATGATCCGGCAAGCGGGGACGACTACTCAGTGAAATGATGATGTAAGCGTGGAAGGGATAGCGCGCGATCCCGTTCTCACACCAGCTCGCAGCCCAAAATTGCTGCGGCCCACCCGATGACCAGCAGTGACGGTTGATAGGGACGGCGGCTGCGGTGGGCGACGGCAAGGACGGAGCCACATTAACTGCGCCCGCGCCAGGAGGCGCAGGCCTAGCCACAGCTCCCTTCGGAGTCGCCAGACTTCATGCAATCCACAAACGTTGTTTACGGCGCACGGGGCGGGATAGCATCTACTCATGGCAAATCCTTGAAGCGGGCCGAAGCAGACTGACGTATCCCACTAATGATGAAGTGCGCCAGCTCATAAACTTGGTCATAAAATTCACACTGTGCTTGGTCATAAACTTCGTCTTGCTATGAGAGAACATGTAGCCCCTGAGAAACATACGGCTGAGTCGTATATTTCCCTCTCATTGTCATAGACGCGCTCCAAGCCAAAGCGACGTAGGGTGGAACCGCACGCTCCTCAAGTAGTCGGCAGTCGGTAAGGACATATTTATCCAACTACCGATATCCGAATTGTATATGAGATTACCTTAACCTGTTCCCTCTGTGGAAAAGATGTTGTAGTTGTATCTTCACGTATAAGTCCACCACTGTCACTTGCGATGGTACTGATGGTACACCCACCATCCATATCCTGCCCAACAGTGCCGATCGGCATCCCAATTTCCAGTCTCGTTGTTGTCATACTCCCTCTGAATGTCACGACTTTTCTGATCCATCGCCGAGAATGCCATGGAAGCCGTGGCAATTGACGGTTCATCCACAGGGATCGCAATGCCACCAACACGAATATCTGTGCGTCTAACCTTGGGTGGTGGCGAACCTCAGACCCTCCTGGGAGCAGGCCTCTTCAGGGGCGACGGTTGAGACAATCGGCGATCAGGCAATGACGAAGGTGGAGGAACCACGTCTCCCCATCGGGGACGGCTACCGGTTGAACTGGCAGCCGCCCTGAGGACATCATTCACCTGCATTGCAGGATCCGATCCCAGACCATCACCACTGGCTGAGTCAGCAGCGGCGCCAAGCATTGGCACGCTTATCGGACTGGTTTTGGACGCTGGGGCAACGCTACTGGCTGAGCCGGCAGCGGCCTCAGTGCCTGCCATACTTACTTTATCAGTCTTACTGGCAGTGGATTTGCCGTTTTCATCGAAATCCATGAGATCCATATCATAACCATAATCATCATCACCAAACCAGCATCAACATCATCAGCATCAACATCGTCGTCGTCGCCGCCGCCGTCGTCGCTGTCGTCATCGCCACCGTCACGGTCATCGTCATCACCTTTGTCATCTTCATCATCCTCAATCCTCCTCCTCCTCCTCCTCCTCCTTATCATCATCCTCCTCCTCCTCCTCCTTCTCCTGCTTCTCCTCCTCCTCGTCCTCATCCTCATCCTCATCCTCATCCTCATCCTCGTCCCTCTCTGCGTCTTCCTCCCCTCCTCATCACCCCCCGCCTCCCCCTCACGTAAAAGTCGGCCCCCAGACCTGTCCCGGGGCGCGCTCAGGCCAAAACTGCGCTGGGCATTCCGCCCTGGCGACGAGCAGCCCCCCCAAGAGGCCCGAAGCGGGCGAGCAACCTTCAAAACCTCGACCCTCGAACCTCGAACCTCGACTCTCATCCCACTCGTTTCCGCTCCTGCTGTCTTGGGGAGGAGGGGGAGGAGGAGGAGGAGGAGGAGGAGGAGGAGGAGGAGGAGGAGGAGGAGGAGGAGGGGAGGGCGGAGGAGGAGGAGGAGGAGGAGGAGGAGGAGGAGGGGAGGAGGAGGAGGAGGAGGAGGAGGAGGAGGAGGAGGAGGAGGAGGAGGAGGAGGAGGAGGGCGGGCCCCAGCGGCCTCGTCCAGCGCGGGCGGATCTGGAGCGCCCGCCTCGAGGCGGTGCGCCTCTGGGTTCGGCGCACGGGCGAGGCGGGGCACGGCGGGGAGGGGTCCTCCGGGCAGCCTGGGGGGGAGAGCGCGAGCGAACGAGGGAGCGAGCGGGCCTCGGGCCTCCGTCAAGAGCCGACGGTGCACGAGACGGCTGTGCACCGTGCCTGCTTGAGCTCTGACCAGTCGCTTCGCTCGCATGGAGATGCTGAGGGAGAGCACGAGGAGGAGCAGGACGACGACGACGGCGAGGGAGAAGGAGGGAGGAGGGAGGAGGGAGGAGGGAGAAGAAGGGAGGATTTGTCTGCCATCAACGAACTGCGCCTTTTTGGACTGCGTGTTCAGTAGGGGGGCCCTCGGGAAGGAGGAAGGGGGGGTGACGAGAGAGGGAGGAAGCAGATGTCAACACGTGGGATATAGCGAGATCTCGATGTTGAAACAGAACCGCCATCCCTCCGTGTAGCTGGAGAACAATTTACAACTCCTGGCCGTGAAATTGGAAAAGCATTAAGCTGAAGCCAGATATTGAAAAATAATCGTCCCTCAACTACGTAATTGTGTTACAATTTCTAAAAATGCGGAAAATGCGAAATTAATTAAACGGTAACCCATGTTATAACGCGCCGCTCCATCCGTGTAACAGACGAGATCGCGTGGCGCTGAAGCGAGAACCCCGTTCTGGAAGCGCCTCCATCCGTGTAGATGCTGGAGCCTGTTAAGACGAAAGCACGCAGCACTAAGGCGAGAACACACATTATGAAGACGAAATCACCTACATCGTGCGATGGATAAAAACTCATGAAGCGAGAGCGGCATGGTAAAAACCATCTACCCTCCGTAAACGCAGCGGGTGGAAACATCATGCTTCAATATCATGCATTGCGAAAAGACATCAGATGAAATGCCAGGCCCGCCCTATCCACACGTCTGGTGGTGCGACGAGGACAACATTTGTATGAGGAAGATGGGTGGGGAAGAAGAAAGAGGGAGGAGGAAGAAGGGGAAGGAGAGAGGGGGGAGGACGAGGAGGGAGGGAGGGAGGAGGGACGGGAAAGGGATGGAGAAGAAGGAGGGGGGCGGAGGCGGAGGAGGAGGCGGAAATCATCCCCACCGCCTGCACGCCACATCCGTGGGCTGTAAACAGAACATAATCCTGAGCCAACTCGCAGAGCAGGCTGCCCCGCCCCGTTCTGGGCCCCGGGCCCTCGGGGCCCAATCCGGCACGGGGCACCCCACTCAGAGATTGGGCGCGGGGCTGACGCCTCGGGATGTCGGGGCCCCGGGGAGCCCCAGCTTCGTTCCGCGAACCCTGGGAGTCACGAGAGCCACGCCCGCGCGGTGCAAAGCCGACGTCTGTCCGAACGCCTGGCGCGCCTCGTCCAAAGAGAAAGCATGGGCGAGATATGAGGATCTGAGTCGGAAAAACAGACGTCCCGGCCGCAGACACAGCCATGCCGAACCGCATCTTGAGAAAACAGCGCTCCTCCTGCTCCGTAAGCATGTCTTTCGTTCCCCCCCCCCTCCATCCCCTGTCCTCCCCGTCCCACTCTCCTCCCTTTGCCTCCCCCATTCTTCCCCTCCGTCCCTCCCCATCACATCATCATCCGGGAAGCACAAGCGGGCCGAGGCGCCCCCCTGGCCATTTGACACGTTCGCTTCTGGGTTGCCTCGCAGTCGCGTCCCTGCGCCTTGTCGCGGCGTGCTGGGAACTACTGCAGTTGGCTTTGGAATCATACTCCGGTCGACCAAGATTGGGACGAACGGCTCGCGACACGTGCGAGTCGGGCCGCTTTTCCTCGGCAGCTGGTGCTGGCTGGGCATTGGCTCGCCCCTGCTCTCCGAGGGCGACGTCCGTCCCAGGAGGGAGGCCCCCGGCGGGCCGTGCCCGTCAGGACCCTCCACACCCGGATGTGCTTCAGCTCTGGGGCTGCAGTGGGACACGCCGTGCTCCCGTACCTGGGCAAGTTCCTATCCTGCGCTTCATGGGCGGCCCGGCGTGCTGTGCCCAACCAGAAACCCTCACTGTCTGGGCGTGCTTCAACCCCCGGGGCTGCACTTTGGGGGGGCGGGTCCATGTTTGTTTGGTAGCCCATGAAATTTGGATGGTCGTTGCACTCCTCTGTTCGCAAGTATGTGGTTCCAGCTCTCCTCGCGCTCACGCTCGGTGTGGCACTTGTGGAGGTGCACCACGAACACTGGCCAATATGCAAGCGGCGGATTTCAGATTCCCTGCGTGGCCTGGCGCGGGCGGCTGTTGTGAAGCTATTTGACGCCCTTGGTGAGTGGATCGTGGCTCGGCAGTGAGGCTCGGGTTGATCCTGATCAACCGTTCGCCTAGCCGCTGGAACCCAGCGGTGGCAGGATACACTACTCGTAAACTCGGGTCTGCCTAAGCTCTTTACGGTAAAGTTACATGCACGGTGATTGTGAATCCTGTGAGAATTACGTTCCAACGTGTGCTATACCGTTCATGTTGCTTGTCATTTCTCTCGTCGCGCATAATGTTGGGGCGATGTGTTAATTTCCTTCCCGCCGATCACGGAGCCATTCTTCACACTTGGGCATGTTGTTTCCTCATCGGCGCGTGTCTCATCTCAATGTATTTGGGCCAGTTTTATGGGACTCCAGTTATGTGTCGCCTTGGGCCGAGGAACCTGGAATAACGGTGAAAGCCAAGGTGCAGGTCGGGTCGTGAAGTAATACTATGTGTCGCATGGCGTCTTATTCTGAGCTGGCAACGCCGAATGTCACTAACTTTGCCGCTGTTTCACACGCAAACGTCTAATCCCCCCTGTGCCGTCCTCCCCTCCCTCCTTCCCTTTCCCCCTCCCCGTCTTTCCGCACATTGACACCACCACCAAGGTCGGGGGTCAACTCCTTCGTGGGAGGCTAACCCCCGATCCCCGTGCCGGTGACGTAGAACTCGTTGCACCCCTCTCGCAGCCTGGACATTACCACCACCGCCGAGACCAAGGGTCCGATTCCCTCAAAGGGGGGACGCCAATGCTGGTGTAGGTGACAGCCTCTGGGCCTCGGACACCTCGCCCTCCCCCGTTTTTCCCCCCCCCCTCCAGACCCGAAGGGGGCTCTGTGAGCTGGAGCTCGACATTCATCACATCGTCACGCCACTGCCCAGCCCCCTCCTCGCTCCCCGCCTGTCCTTCGTATTCCTTCCCTCCGTTGTTCATGCCTTACCTCGTCCCCCCCCCACACCCTTCCATATCCTATTCCTTTTCGGGGCTCATCCTCCACCTCATCCTCCGCCTCCTCCTCCTTCTCCTCCTCCTCATTGTGAGGTGTGGCATGTGATCCGACTCCAACTACTCATCCCTCACTTTCAAGTCGACCCCAGACCTGTCCAGGGGTGCGTGATCACCCAAGTTGCTTGGGAAATAAAGTCGTGCGATGAGAAGTTTCCTGATGGCCGAAGAGGAGCCAAAAGTGATTCACGATCCACGACCATCGATCCTCCTCTCCTCTTCCTCCTCCTCCTCCTCAGCAGCAGCAGCAGCAGAAGCAGCAGCGTCAGAATCAGCATCAGCATCAGCATCAGCATGAACATGATCGTCATCATCATCAGCAGCAGCAGCATCATCCTCATGATCATCATCATCATCATCATCATCATCATCATCATCATCATCATCATCATCATCATCATCATCATCATCATCATCCTCATCCTCATCATCATCATCATCATCATCATCATCCTCATCCATCTCATCCTCATCCTCATCCTCATCCTCATCCTCATCATCATCATCATCATCATCATCATCATCGTCATCATCAGCATCAGCATCAGCATCAGCATCAACACCATCATCATCAGCATCATCATCAGCGTCATTATCAGCAGCAGCATCATCATCATCATCATCCTCATCCTCATCCTCATCATCATCGTAATCGTCATCGTCATCTTCCTCCTCCTCCTCCTGCTCCTCCTCGTCCCCCTCCTCATTACCATCATTATCATCAGCATCAGCATCATCAGCATCATCATCAGCATCATCATCATAATCAACATCATCAGCAGCAGCAGCATCAGTATCACCATCACCAGCATAATCATCAGACTCACCATCATCATCATCATCATCATCATCATCAACATCAGCAGCAGCATCAGCACCAGCATCAACATCAACATCACAGTATGTATCATCATCGTCATCAGCATCATCAGCAGCAGAATCATCGTCATCATCAGCATCGTATTCATCATCATCAGCAGCGTCATCATCAGCATCATCATCATCATCGTCATTGTCATCATCGTCATCATCAGCATCGTCTTCAACATCATCAGCATCATCAGCATCATCATCATCACTCGCTCCCCTGGCCCCGAGCGGCCTCTATGAGCTGGAGGTCTGTTTTCATCACCTCGTCGCGCCACTGCCCGGCCTCGGGCGCGCGCTTCGCGCGCGGAGGACAATGTGCAGAAGTTGTGCAGGATGCAAGTCCCACGAATATACACCACCGCCGCCTCCATTCCCCCTCCTTCCTCCACCGTCCTCCTCTCTCCTCCTCCTCCTCCTCCTCCTCCTCCTCCTCCTCCTCCTCCTCCTCCTCCTCCTCCTCCTCCTCCTCCTCATCCGCCTCCTCTTCCTCCTCGAGGACGAACACGAATATGCACCGCCACCGCCTCATCCCTCCACCGTCCTCTTCCTCTCTTCCCTCCTGGGAGAGGAAGGGAGTGCGGGAGATCGTGGTGGTGGTGGTGGTGGTGGTAGTGGTGGTAGTGGTGGTGGTGGTGATGGATGCGGCGGACAGGCAGCTCGTCCGTACCGGCCCGACGCACGCAGGCCTGATCAGCGGCAGAGAGGAATGGCATTCGATGTTCTCTCTCTCTCTCTCTCTCTTTCTTCGGGGTGGCCCTCCTAGAGGGCGGGTAACTCGCAAGCCCCCGCGCTCGCCCCTGCGGCCACCCCTTCATATATATATATATATATATATATATATGGGACGCACAAAGACATACTAGTACTATCTGTCCTCCTTGGAGGCGCACGTCTGACCCGAACATACAGTATGCCCATCTTGTAGTAGATCGTTTCCCGAACGGTGTGGCCAGAAAAGCGCTGGCCCACGATGCATAGACTATAAGACTTCTCGGTGCGCGCGTCGCCCCTGGGAGGGCGACGCACATGTAGCATTAGCAGGTTGTGGTGACGCCAAATTTTTCTCCCCTCCAGGCTCTCCCAGCCACCCCGGGGTTCTGCCGATGCCCCGTCGACGCTCGGGCTTCCGTGGGTCCTCGTCGCCGGCCGTGGATTCGGCTGGGCTGCGCTCCTCGAAGTGGGCCGCGAGCGAGCGAGGAGGGGTGCAGAAAGGCTTGCTCAACGGAGATGGTGCTCGATTCTGGCGCCCGCCATCAGACCTCCCTCACAGGAAAGAGGAGGAAAGCTCCCTCCTCTTCTTCCTCCTCCTCCTCCTCCTCCTCCTCCTCCTCCTCCTCTTCCTCATCATCCTCTTCATCAGACGGATGCTTTGCAATGGTTCCCACAGTGAAAACACATTCTCGCGGAGACTGATGGAGAGGGAACTTGGACGGAGGGTGTATTACAACATCGCTGATGCACCTTGAATTTAGACTGGTCCTGCACCTCCTCCTCCTCCTCCTCCTCCTCCTCCTCATCATCATCATCATCATCATCATCATCATCATCATCATCATCATCATCATCATCATCATCAGCATCATCATCATCATCATCATCATCATCATCATCATCATCATCATCATCACCATCATCATCATCATCATCATCATCATCATCATCATCATCATCATCATCATCATCATCATCATCATCATCATCATCATCATCATCATCATCATCATCATCATCTCCCTCCTCCCCTTTCTCCCCTCATCCTCCTCCTCATCCGTATCCTCCGCCTCCTCCTCCTCCGCCTCCTCCTCCTCCGCCTCCTCCTCCGCCTCCTCCTACACCTCCGCCTCCTCCTCCTTCTCATCCTCTTCTTCTTAATGTGATGTTTAGTATGGTTGTTATCATTCGTATTCTCATGGCTAGTGCGATTATAATTAGTATGATTAATAGTATGCCGAAATATTGCTAGTTGGATGTGTTGTATTGCTATTACTGCTATGGCTATGAACAGTATTAGTTTTCGTCTTCTTCGCTTCTTCGTGTAAATTGTATTCATAGTCTTCCTGCTCCTCCTCCTCATCCTCCCCCTCCTCCTCCTCCTCCTCCTCCGCCTCCTCCGCCTCCTCCGCCCTTCTCCCCGTCCTCCTCATCCTCCTCCTCCTCCCCCTTCCCATCCTCCTCATCCTACTCATCAAGCCCTCGGCTCGAACCCTCCGTTGGTCGCGCCATGGCTTGAACCAGGCTGGCCATGGCGGCGCGGAGGTGACTGCGAACCGACTACAGCGCACCCACCGCCAGGGGTCGTGCCACGCTGCACGCGGCAGGTGACCCTGGCTGGTTGCTTGAGCGCGGGGCGTGGATGGCCGGTGTATCGGCAGCCCTGCAGCAGAGAAGCAGCAGCCATGCGAAGTTGTTCCCCGGCTGGGAACCTTCACGAGGCAGCAGCACAAGTGGCGCCAGCAAGGCTGCCAAGCAGAGGACAGCGTCCTGCGCATGGAGATGGAGAGGGCGCAAATGGAGGCCACGCCCAGTCATGAGGCCGAGTCGAGGATACAGGAAGAAAGCCGCCGCATGGCAAAGCGGTCTTCCTTCCTGGCAACGCGCCGTGGCCGCGACTGCCCAAAGACGACCAGCGGCAGCACGCGCCTGAAGAAGGAGGAGGACACGGAGCCCAAGGAGGAGCTCCCGACATCCAGCGACGAAAAGTACAGCTCCGAAGAATCAGAGGGCCCCTCTTACGATCCAGCGAACTCAGCGGCCCCAGCAAAGGCCGAGTTCTGCAGCACGAGCCGAACGACCACAGAGAAGGGAGGACCCGACGCAGCAACAAAGCCGTGGTCCACTCGCGCAAGCCGTGAGAAGCACGCCTCGGGCACCTCTGGGAGCGAAGCCCAGCTCTCGCAGTCACCTCGAAAGGGTTGGTCCTCCTCCTCCCCACCTCCTCCTCCTCCTCCTCCTCCTCCTCCTCCTCCTCCTCCTCGTCCCACAGAATGACGGGAAGACGACTCCCGCTCACCCTCCCCACAGGCACTGCCGGCCAACTACGACCACCCCATTGTCAGGCACAGCCTGGCCCGACAGCATGGCCATCGGCAGGTGAAGCTGGGGCACCCAGCGCCTGCCAGGCCCAGCAGCCCCAGGCGAGCAGCTGAAGACCAGCCACCAGAGGGAGACACATGAAGGTGAAGAGCACGAAAAGGCCGCCGAGGTGCCACACCTGGAGCCCGAGCAGGCAGCAGCGGCAGAAAGTCCACTCACCCGAACAGGCCCGACCATGGCGCTCCAAGCCAGACCAGAGTGCGCGGCCTGTAAGGACCTGGCAGAAGATCAGCACCAAGGCGGCGAGCGGCACAGTGAGGCCGTGAACCCACCCAACGAAGGAAAGCAAGTTGCGGATCGAGGTGCACTGCGAGTGCGGCAACATGATCTACGGGGACCGCCTCGAGAAGTTAGCCTACACGTGCAAGCGCGGGAAACAGCCACCGACGACTCCTCCAGGGGCGCCGCCTGCACGGCGCGCTCGAGGTGCCCGCACCTCGACTTCGACACGGAAGCGACGCACACCTCCGCGGCCGGCTTCGAGAGATCCTGGCCCTGATGCGCCAAACGAGCCAGACCAACCAGACCAACAAGAAGAGGTGGGCCCTGCTGAGCCCAACATCGGAGAAGCTATGGAGTCGGTGTGACTACCTACCAGACCACCCCAACCCAACCCGAAGACACGAATGTGGCTCGAATTTCGGGTTGGGGGGGTACGGGGTCCATGTGTTTTTTCAATGTTCCCCGACCCCCCCCACCGGAAATGAGAGGCAAATTGAGGCCTTCGGGTTAGGTTGGGGTGGTTTGGTGGGTGGTGATGCTGAGCCCACCATCGGAGAAGCTGCTTTCTGCCATGTATGGGGCGGGGCGGGCCAGGCAGACAGCGACCGCGACGACGACGAAGGCGATGACGACGAGGGGGAGGAGGAAGATGAAGGGGCCCAGGGACACACAAATAAATAGACGCAAATAACAGGAATCCCCATAATTTCCGACATTTTCTGGGTGTTCGTCTTCCCCCCAACTTCCCATATGTTCCCATCTTTTCCTGGGAGTCAACGATTACTCGTGTCTGTGTTTCTCTCCCTCCTGAGAAGAGGGCGACGACGACGGGACGGAGAGCCAGCACCCCCATCCGTCCTATTGGCCCCAGCCAGGAACAAGGGCAGAAGGGCGAAACGCACCGGAGTCACATTGGAACCATATTGGGGCAGTCGTGGAATCAACTAGGTTTCACAGGGTCATGTTGGGGCAATCTCGAAGTCGTAGGCGGCCTTCGTATGTCACGGAATAGCCCTTGGAGGCGGCGTCATCGTATGGCGGCGTTGCTGGTGACGGTCTTAGATTTGCTAACACTGTTGGTGGCTTTCGTTGTGATCAGACCACAGCACGCCAGAGGATTCATGAACCATACACGGCTGCGAGAAGGGTGTATATCTACAAGCATGTTGTGTTTGATATGGCTTGTGCTGCTGCTGATGTCCTTGCTGTCGTTGCTCTTGATGCCGGCCGGCTAAGTTGTTGGTATTGCTGCTATGTTCGTTTATGTTGTTCCTATTGCTGGTGTTACTGTTTTGTTCACTCGATGACTTTGCTGTGTGCTTGTCCGGCCTGGGCTCGTTGACCACAGGGCAGGCCGAATGACTGGAAAGTTCATTTTCTTGTATGGCTGTTATTGTTGTTGGTGTCGTCGTCGTTGGTTGTTGCTTGTACTGTTGGTGTTGTAAGTGTTGATATTGTTGTTGTTGCTCTTTGTGTTGCTGCTGCTGCTGTTGCTATTGTTGTTGTTGCTCCTGCTGTTGTTTTTGTTGAGTTCTCATTTCTACAGAATCCATATTGTTGACCGCCCCCTCCGGTGCATCTTGTGTTTTCAATTGGAGTGCTCCTCCCAGGGCTCGCACCATGGCTTTTACACAGGAACAGCTTGGTCCTCAAGTTACGTGGTTGGCCCCCTGTTTGCAACAACAGTGGCTCCCGCCTCAAATTTCCCTACAACTTATTTTAGAATCGCGCTCTCGCGCAGGACTTCCCCACAATGTATGCAGGAATCGCGTTATCGCATGGGACTTCCTCGCAATTTACGCGGACGCCGCGCCCCCTAGACTCAGGAATCACGCTCTCGCTCTTTATTTCCTCACGATTGACTTGGGAATCGCGCCATCGCTCGAACCGTTCTTGCGATTCATGCTGGATTGACGCTTCAACAACCCGCCCGCTTGATCCGGCCGTCTGGGCCCGCCCGCCCGACCGCCCGGCCCGCCCGTCTGGTTCTGCCGCTTGTACTCCTGCTCCTACCCGTCCTTCTCCCTCCTCATTGTCTCTCCCCTCTTTCCTTCCTTCCTGTTCTCTGCGCCAACTACGCGCGGCAGGTAGGGAAGATATACCCACAATGGGGGTACGATCGAAGACAAAAAGTGTGGGTATCGAAGGTTTGGGGTGTACATGTTTAATGGCACGGGAGCAGATAGGAGCGAACATCTTAGAACGATGATGGTTGTTGTTTGTCGTTGCTGGTGTTGTCGTTGTTGTTGTTTGGTGTTGCTGTGCTTTGCTGTCCAATAGAACCTCAAAAGAGCTCCAGCCATGAGACATTTGCTTTCCGTTGGCGGATTCCTATCCCTTAAACGCGCCGCCATGCGAAAAATAAGAGGTTGTCGTCGTGGTAGGTGCTGTAGCGGAACGGCCCATTACCACATTTCGAGGATCGACGAACACACCATGAAACAAAACAAAAGATTGCATTATGTAGATTGCACCAAGTCAATAGTACCACGTAAGTTGCGCACTACTTAAAGTACACCACACAGATTGCACCACTTAGATTGCACCACGATCTATAATATATATATATATATATACATATCGATCTAGGCATGTGGGTGCGCGGGCATCCCCGTCCCCCTGAAAATCAGAGAGGGGGGACTCGATTGTCAATGGTATCCTTCCTCTTCGTCCTCCTCCTCTTCCTCTTGTCGACACCTTCACCGTCCGCATGGCGTCACCCCCACCCAGTACAGCGCTTCGTGACCCCTTGGGGAGCTACACCGAAGGCCTAGGTGGCACCGCCCGCAAGCGTCAGCCCCACCCAGTACAGCGCTTCGTGGCCCCATCGAGGTCCACCGAAGACCCCAGTGGCACCGCCCGCATGCGTCACCCGTACCCAGTACAGCGCTTCGTGGCCCCATAGGGAGCTCGACCGAAGGCCCCAGTGGCACCGCCCTCCTCTTGTTGGCACCTGCACCATTGGCATGATTTAAGTGTGAAGGGTGGTACTTTCACCAAGTGGATCGGGCACAAGAACTCAACAATAGGTATTTGGTCTTCTTCAGCACCTTCACCAAGTGGATCGGGCACAAGGACTCAACAATAGGTATTTGGCCTTCTTCAGATCATCATTGTCCAGCCTCTTGTGGTCGGCATTCACCCCGCAAATTGGCACAGCCTCAAATCCGTCTGGGTAGGGCAGTCTCTGTGGGCCCCTCCCGTCTCGCATGGGCTGGGTCACTGCACGCATCACTGCCATCAGAAATGAGGCACCGGGTGAAAATGCGGAGGTGCGCGGAGCACCCTCCGTTTCAGCGACGTTTGCCACATTGGTCGCCGATGTATGATCCGTGTGTGTGACACATGGCAGCACGCATGAGCTGCAACCAAGGTGTACGCTGTCGGTGAGCACATGCTCAGTGTCACTAAACAGCTTGCGAACGCTCGCCACGTGCAGAGCGGTGCCTAGGCGTTTCCTGCAATTGCCCTAGAAGACAGGCTGACGTGTGATGCTCAATAGCATCATCCAGCACGCAGACACCATGGCGGCTGGTGCCACACGGCAGCCACCTGCGTCACCGTGCGACAATGCCAACTGGGATGCGGACTATAGAGTGGTACGCCTAAGCACTCATGAACTCAAATGAACATGGGAGCAACGGACGCAGCGTACATTTGAAACTAAAATGGCAACGGAGAAGGGGAGACTCAGAGGGAGAACATAAGGATAGGAGGAGGAGGAGGAGAAAACCGAGGAGCAGGGAGTAGCAGAAAGACGGTGGCGACGCTGACAGCGACCACGACCCTCCCCTTCCTGCTCTTCCTTTTCCTTTTCTCCCCACCATGGGGGCCTTGAAGTAGTCCTCGGGCTCGGCCACGGGGTACACTCGCAGAAGCTCCTCATCACGCAAGCTGCCGAGAAAAGGGTGTTGAGCATCGTGTAACCGACCCCTATCCCCATGGACGTGGCCTGAGCCCCACTGGCCGACTTATCCCCTTCGATGGGGATATAAGCTGTTTTCGTCGGGTTTCGAGCGGTATATCCCCAACTGGGGTTTGAGATGGT